CCCACTGGGGCCTTCGGTGGAGCTCTCTATGGGGCCACGAAGCGCTACCCTGGGTGGGGGAACCGCATGCGGGCACCCCCACTGGGGCCTTCGGTGGAGTTCCCTATGGGGACACGAAACGTTGCCCTGGGTGCGGGAACCGCATGCGACCCCCCCCCTCCGCTGGAGCCATCGGCGGAGCTCTCTATGGGGCCGCGAAGCGTTGCCCTGAGCGAGGGAACCGGATGCGACCCCCCACACTGGGGCCACCGGCTGAGCTCCCTAAGGGGACACGAAACGCTGCCCTGGGTGGGGGAACCGCATGCGGGCACCCCCGCTAGGGCCTACGGTGGAGTTCCCTATGGGGCCACGAAGCGCTGCCCTGGGTGGGGGAACCGCATGCGAGAGCAGCCGCTGGGGCCTACGGTGGAGTTCCCCCGCGCACTGGGGCCATCATCGGAGCTCCCTATGGGGTCACGAAACGCTGCCCTAGGCGGGGGAACCGCATGCGAACAACCCCACTGGGGCCTTCGCCAGAGCTCCCTATGAGGACGCGAAACGCTGCCCTGGGCGGGGGAACCGCATGCGACCCCCCCACTGGAGCCATCGGCGGAGCTCCCATTGGGGACACGAAACGCTGCCATGGGCGGGGGAAGCGCATGCAACCCACCCCCACTGGAGCCATCGGCGGAGTTCCCTATGGGGCCACGAAGCGCTGCCCTGGGCGGGGGGACCGCATGCGACCCCCCCCCCTATTGGGGCCATCGGCGGAGCTCCCTATGGTGACACGAAGCGCTGCCCTGGGTGGGGGAACCGCATGCGACCCACCACCACTGGGGCCATCGGCGGAGAGCCCTGTAAGGCCACGAAACGTTGCCCTGGGTTGGGGAACCGCATGCGACACTCTTCCCCCCCACCCCACTGGGGCCATCGGCGGAGCTCCCCATGAGGACACGAAGCGCTGCCCTGGGTGGAGGAACCGCATGCGACCCCCCTCCCACATTGGGGCCTTCGGCGGAGCTGCCTATGGAACCACGAAGCGTTGCCCTGGGTGGGGGAACCGCATGCGACCCCCTCCCCCGCTGGGGCCATCGGCGGAGCTCCCCACGGGGCTACGAAACGCTTCCCTGGGCGGGGGAACCGCATGCGACCTCCCACTGGGGCCATCGGCGGAGCTCCCTATGGGGCCACGAAAAGTTGTCCTGGGTGCGGGAACCGCATGCGACCCCCCCCCCACTGGGGCCATCGGCGGAGCTCCCTATGGGGACACGAAACGCTGCCCTGGGCGGGGGGGCCGCATGCGACCCCCCCCCCGCCGGGGCCATCGGTGGAGCTCCCCATGGGGCTACGAAGCGCGCGAGAGGTGTGCCGAGAGCAGAGGCAAGGAGGGGGGGAGGGAGGATGGGGGGGGAGGAAGGAAAGAGAGACGCGCGGCACCGTCTCTCCAAAACGAGGACCCAACACCACAGGATGGTTGGGAGAAGTGGTCGCGCGCGCAGTTGCGAATTGCCGAGGGATGTGTTAAGCTATATATATATATATATATATATATATATACATATATATATATATATAAAGACACAAGGGCTTCGCGCGCGCGTCGAAATCGCCCGAACGCCCTTGCGCGCGTGATGTCGCGAGAACCCGTTGCAAAAACATGGGGCGAAGTGCGCGCGCGCGTCGTCGCGCGCGCGTGCCGACCCCCGTCAAAGACCTTCGGTATCGAAATCATGTCAAAAACGAGCGTCCAAAAATATACAAACGACACATGGTTTCGCAACGTCAGTTTTCAGGAAAGATTGCGCTCGCGCTTTTACGACTTCTGAGGAAAACCGTAGGTTGTTCAAGATTTGCACGGAGTTCTGCCAAACGGCCTTCTCGCGCCGCAGGCCGATTTCATTCGCGCGCCTATGCGCGCGTGCTCGGGGGGCACGATCTGCGCCAAATAACGCCGCGCGGGCCACTCTCGCGCGTCGGCCGCGCGCGCGCGCCGAACTCTTCCCACGCCGCCATCGCCGACGCGAGGGCGCCGTCATCGTCGTCGGCACGATCAGCATCTGCGCCGTCGCTGGCCGCGCGGTCGTCGTTGCCGACGTGATCTTCATCGCGTCTACCTCTGTCGACCTTGCCATGGTGCCGGCGCCACCCGAGTCGCCGACTCGCATTGAAGTGCCCGTCGGGATGCGCCCAGCGGCGTGCGCCGCCGCGACCGCGTCGGTCGCGCCAAACTAGCTGGCCGCTGCGCGCGCGCGGGCTAGCGCGGCTGCACGGATGCAGCAGCCAAAGCCAAGCGCTCATCGCAATCGCCGCCGCATGGGTTTTGCAAGCCAGGTTGCGGGTGGGCGGGTGGGATGTCTGCAAGAGCGCGGAATGCGTCAACTATTCGTCTGTAAAAACCAATTACACCACATAGTTTGCACCATATAGGTCGCTCAGCATAGATCGCGCAACATAGATTGCGCCACGTTGGTTGGCACCGCATTGACTGCGCAACCTCTTATATTGCACGCTATGTATTCTCCTTTCGTAAAGAAGTCCGATTATACTCCCACCGCGGGGCTGTCAACTCGGCCCCGCGCGTTGCAATTCACGAGCGATTCCGCCTCCTTGCTCATTTTCCTTGCGGGTTCATGCCGCCCCGTGGGGGGGGGGGGGGGGGGGCCCCCCCCCCCCCCCCCACCAGCCGCGCGGGAAAAAATGAAAATCTAATGCTCGCGCACTCGTTTATCAACGACCATCAGTTTTCAAGGACCCCTTGAAGGGGGAAAAGAGAGAGAAACAAAACAAAAAAAACGCACGCGCTCGCCGCTGCGACAGTCGAGCGTCCGGCTTCACAGAAAAATAGAAACGTGCGCTTGCGTTCTTTCAAATTGTTCAGAAAACATGTGGTTGTTCCAGATTTCCATACAATGCGGCCAAAAGGCTTCGCGCGCGCGCATATCGAAGTCGCTCGAACGCCCTGGCGCGCGTGCTGCCGCGAAAATCCCTTGCAAGAAATGGGGCGAAGGGCACGCGCGCGCGTCGGCGCGCGCGCGTGCTGACATCCGTCAAAAACCTCTAGTTTCGCAACGGTTCAAAAAAGTGTGTTCAAAAACGCAGATCAGTTTTCGCAACATAAATTTTCAGAAAAAGATTGCGCTCGTGCTCTTGCGAATTCTTAAGGAAACCGTAGGATGATCAAGGATTGCACGGAATTCTTTCAAACGGGCCTCTCGCGCCGCATGCCGAAATCATTCGCGCGCCCATGTGCGCGTGCTGGGTGGGCACGATCCGTGTCAAAGCACGCCATGCGTGCCAGTCTCGCGCGTCGGCCGCGCGCGCACGTCGAAGTCTGTTCGAAAACCTACGTTTTCGACGCGAGGACGCCGTCATAGTCGCAGGCGCGATCAACGTCTGCGCCGTCACTGGCCGCGCCGCTGTCGCTGGTCATCATCGCGTCTACCGTCGTTGACGTTGCCATGATACCGGCGCCGCCCAATTCGCCGACTCGCACTGAAGTGCCCGTTGGGTTGCGCCCTTCGGTGAGCGCCGCCGCGACCGCGTCGGTCGCGCCAAACTAACTGGCCGTTGCGCGCGCGTGCTGGGGTTGGCGCGGCCGCAGAGATAGATGCACCAGCCAACGCCAAGCACTCATCGCAATCGCCGCCGCATGGGTTTTGTCGAGTTGCGGGTGGGTGGGTGGGGTGTTTTCCGGAGCATGGGATGTGTCAACTTGTTCGTAAAAGTCAAATGCGCTACACAGATTGCACCAGTTAGATTGCACCGCGGCAGTTGCATCGCATATCACGCGCCACGTAGATCGCACCACATGTATTATTCCATCTGTGTTGCACAACGTATAATACTAGAAACACGGTTTCGGGTCCACGGTGGATAACATAGCTTGATACGAAACCAACGTTTCTCCGTGTCAGTGCTGGATGCGTTGAAACGGAATGTCCTCGGCGTGGGGGCGAGAGATGCATTTCGATGACGTTCCGCGTTTTTTGTGTTAGTATTATTCAGGCGAGTGCGTGCGGCTGTAAGGCAAGAGCCATATGTTGAAATGGAACCATATTCGCGAAATTGCTCCGGCGCTAAAGCGAAAACCACGTGTTAAAAGCCACCCCCTCCATCCGTGAAGCTGGTGGAACGTTGTGAGACGAATGTGCACGGCGCAAGGGAGCGAATTACTGTTTGAACATCCCCTTCCATCCGTGAGATTTTCGGACATGTGTAATACTAACGCGCGCGGCGTTGAAGCGAACACCACATTGGGAAAACGATTGGGGCAAGTGCGCGCGGTGCAATTCCGTAAACCAGAATCTTTGGCAAGCGGACACGCACAACGCCGATCCGTGTAATTTTTGGAACATGATGAGAGAAATATGCGCGGGCTTTCGGGCGAAAACCATTTTTGAAAACGATCCCGCGCCATCCGCGTGACCGTTGGAAATGCCAAGCGTCAGGGTCATCAGGACGAAGTCTCAGGCGAAACGCCCAACCCGCCCTTTCCGATACGTCTGGTGGTCAGCCGAAAGGAGTTTTCAACAAAAGGAACGAGTGAAAAATGAAGGAAGGGGGAGGAACAGGTCAAGGCGGAGGACAAATCGAAGGACGAGGAGGACATACGCGAAAACGGCACGATATCGGCGACGGCGGCGACGCCTGCGACGACGACGACCCGCCGTCTGCCAGCCGACGTCCTCACTGTTTTCCCCGGCGGCCCTTCTGAACCGCCGAGGTTTACGATGACGACGAGTGCCATGACGACGGCGGCGATGACGACAACGACGATAACGACGACGACGGCGACGAGGGCGCGACGACGGCGAAGGCGGAGGCGGCGACCACCACGGCGACGGCGGCGGCAGCGACGGCAACGACGACAACGGCGACGGCGGCGGCGGCGGCGACCACCACGGCGACGGCGGCGGCGGCGACGGCGGTGACGATGACGGCGACGGCAGCGGCGACAGCGGTGGCGACGACAGCAACGGCGGCGGCCTCTCCGGTCGCCGCAGCTGCCGCGCGCGCGACAGGCCGCAGGTGACGCCTCCGCAACCGCTCCCCGCGTGGGCGCGGCGCGGAGCCCATCGCGCGCGCGACGAGCCGCGGGGCCACCGGAGTACCCCCTCCCTCGGGAGCCTCGAGATCGACCCCACGTAAGAGTGACGTTTCGCCGGAGTCATCTTTGGTGCGGGCTCACTTGGGTCCCCCCGATCGCTGAGCGCGATGCGCTGGCGGCTGCTGTTGCGTGCTTGGCGTTGGCTACACTGCGCCCCCGCAGTCCGCGCACCAAAGGTCACTCCTGCCTGGGGTCACTCTCGCGTGTAGCCGAGCCTTGAGACGGGGGTCAATGCAAACGGGGGTCAGCCAGAGCGCCGTATCTTACAGGGTCCTGCAGAGCCAGGGGTGCTTTGACCGGGCTTGCGCGCAGGATCCTGCAGGATCCTGCAGAGCCCGACTAACCCGGGTTTGCATTGACCCTGGTCAGTAGATCCCCGACCCAGAGAGCCGTGTTGCCTCCCCACGTGTTTCCTGCCCGCAGCACCGTCCTCCCTCGCCGATGCATGATTCAGGCAACAATTCCATGGGCGGCGGGGGCAGGGGTGGGAATTCGTCGAATACGTGGCGAAATCCGAACCTTACCCCCGCTTCACATCGATTCAGGAAAATCGATGGTTGGTGGAGGTAGGGTTCGAATGTCGCCATCTATCGCGAGGAAAATCGAAATTGCATAAACATCAGCCTTCGGAGCTCCGAGCGGACTTCTTGGATCGGCGCTGGGCCCCCTTGGCGGCGTCTCCAGTGCCGCCCCTGGCTCGCGGAGCGCGCCATGGAGGGGAGCCCAGCGCCCGTCCAAGGAATCCATGCGGAGCTCCGAAAGTCTATGGTTATTCAGTTTTGTCTCTTCCTCTAGCCGTCCCCCCTCCTGTTCCCCTCCCTCCTCCCTTAGACCATTTTCGGCCTCCGGGGGGCCTCGCTGGGCCCAGTTGCAGTCAGAAAACGATTCGGGATGAGAAGCCGGCGCTGGGGAAAGGGTTGGGACATCTGGGCACCCCAGATTGAAAAGTCAAGACATCGCATGTTTGAGAACCCACGAGACTCCTTCCTCCTCCTCCTCCTCCTCCTCCTCCTCCTCCTCCTCCTCCTCCTCATCCTCATCCTCATCCTCATCCTCATCCTCATCCTCATCCTCATCCATCCATCCCTCTCTCCTCCCTCCTCTTCTCCCCACCCCGGCGGCGAGACGAGCCTCCTTTTGGTGGTCACAACCCCTTTGACCCAGATCACGAATTCGACCCTCCAGGGCCTCCTCTCTCCTCCTCCACCTCCCCCTCATCATTCCCTCTCCCCTCTCATCCTCCTCTATCCTCCCTCCTCCCTCCCTCTCTCCCCCCCCCTCCTCATCGTTCCCTTCCTCCTCCTCCTCCTCCTCCTCCTCCTCCTCCTCCTCCTCATCCTCATCCTCATCCTCATCCTCATCCTCGTCCTCCTCCTTGTCGCCTTCCTCCTCCGCCCTTTCCTCCTCCCCTCAACATAATCCTCCTCCACATGATCCTCTTCATCCTGATCGTCAATCGTCGTCGTCGTTGCCGTCGCCGCCGCCGTCGTCGTAGTCATCATCACCACCACCATCATCAACGTCATCATCAACAGCACCATCATCAGCATCATCATCATCAGCATCAGCATCAGCACCATCATCATCTTCCCCCATGCTCCGCGCTCGTGCCATCTTCCGAGCCCTTGCCCCCATCGATTGTCCTCTATCCTCCTCCCCCTTCCTCCCCGCTTGTGCTCTCCGAGGCACGGCCAGTCTCACCCGTGCGCTTTGTCCACTGCTGTAGGCGCGGTCACGCCTCCCCCCTTCGGTGATGCCAGGCCGCCGATTCTCCGGCGGCGTGCGCCAAGAGGGGCGGGCACTTTCTGTGAAGGGGGGCGCCTTCTAAGAAGGGGGCGGGCACTTTCTGAGAAGGAGGGGCGAGAAGGCAGGATTATCTCGGAGGGTCGGGGATGGGAGCAGGGATCAGGATGGGGAATTGTGAGGGGGAGGAGGAGAAGCAGGAGGGGGAAAGAGGAGCAGGAGAGAGGGATGGGATCCGAGAAGAGTCCAGGGAGCAACGTAGCAGGGAACAGGAGGCACGCCCCAAGCTTACGGATTGCCCGACGGCGTCCGTACCGTCGTCGTCATTGTCGTCGTCGTCGTCGTCGTCGTCGTCGTCGTCGGCAGCCTCGTCGTCGTCGTCGTCGCCGCCGCCGCCGCCGTGGGGCGGCCTGAGGGACACTGGTACCCACCTCATCTCGGGGGGGGAGGGGGGGCGGCCGTGGGCCCTGAGCCTAGGGCCTAGGTTCGCAGATGCGACGGAAGATAACGAGGTCGATTGCGTCGACATTCGCGCGTAAGCGTTCCGCGGCGAAAGTCCCTGCGTATGCGTTCTGTCATCCGCGTGGCGTGTCACACTTGCGGCCCGCGTTAGCCGCGGCGTATGATCGCTATGCCAAGAGAGACAGAAGCCGTGCACGTGAAAGGTGCATTGGCAGACCATGCATACAGTTGGGGCGCTGAAGAAGGAACCCTTTGCGTTGGGGAGGGGCTCGGTGTTCCTTGATTGTTTCACAGTTTGCCTTAGGCTGTCCTTAGGTTTTCGAAGGTAAACCGAAGTTGAACTTGTGAAAAAGGGGCCTCGTTCCTTATTTAGGGTTCTTTAGGTCAACGCCCCGAGAGGGTACGCGATGCATGGTAGAGCAGGGCATGGCATGGCATGGCGTAGAAGAGCACGGCAGAGCATGGCATGCCATAGCATGGCGTGGCATTGCGCAGTGAAGCATTGCATCACAAAGCATTGCAACGCCAAGCATGGCATCGCACGGCGGCTCAGAACACAACACCGCACAGCACGTCATGGCATGGCGCCGGGTTCTTTGGAGGGTAAGTGGATCGTCTTCGAGAGGTCTGGGCCAGTCTGGAGTCGTGGCTCCACCGTCTAGCTTCTTGGGCTTACTCAAAAGCTCCATGCAAGGCGGGGCTGATGGAGATCACCCGCTGGCTCTGCTTTCAACATCGCGCGGGGCATTTTCTAGATTTTGGGGCCCATTTGGAAGGACCGAGGACGCCCGCGCTGCAGCGGGAGCACAGTATGAAACAACCAGAGGCGTAGAAATGGGGCCAGCGCTTCAGCGAAGCAACATTTTGAAACAAAACCCCAGCGAAAACCCATTTCCCGGGAATCCGATGCGTAAAAAGCAGTACGCGGGTGGGGGCCAGGTATCTTCCGGACGTCATCAGGGGAGGGAGGAGAGTAGTATGCATATTGCGTAGTTAATTGTGAAGGAGAAGGCTTTCTCAGCAGGCGGCGGGGCGTCTCAGAAGCCTTCCAGCCTTCGGAGAAGTTGTCGGTGTCTTCGGGGAAGGCTCAGAAATCTTCTCAGAAGGCCAGGGGACTTCCGAGCCTTCTGAGAAGGCCCGCCCCCTCTCACTCCCCCCCGGGCTCGCCGCCGAGACCCGCGTGCAGCCGTGGCCACGCGGGGCGCTCCAGAGAACCTCAAACAGCGGAAGACGTCCGAGAGCCGCTCATCTGTCTTCCACCCTCTCGATCGTGGATCCTCGCTCCGCCGGGCCATCGCTCCACGGCCCTCTCGGCCTCGGTCCTCGAGTCCTGGCTCTCGATCCCTGCGTCCCTCGATCCTCTGTCCTCGGCCGCCTCGACCTTCGGCCGTCGATCCTGGGTCTTCGACCTTCGCTCCGCCCCGACCCTCGATCATCGATCAGACCGACCCTCGAAACCCGAGATGCCCTGCCCCCCCTGGTGCGCGCCGCTCAGCTCCGCCAGCTGCTCGCCCAAGTCGCGCAGACTGGGGAGACTGTTCCCCCCCGGTAGCGCTCGCATGCCGCTGCGTGGAGAAGGAGTGCCGGCGCGTGCGGGGCAGGAAGGAGTCGGGGCGCGCGCAGCGGGGTTCAGCGCAGACGGGGCTCGGCCAGAAAGTTGGACCCTGCAGGATCCTGCAAAGCCTGAGTTTGGCCGAGCCGTAGTTGGGCGCCGCTCGCGGCCCTGGAGGTGGCCTTGCATGTTGGCTGAACCGGGTGCGGGAAGCCAACCACGAAAGATTGCAGCGCATGTTTTCTGAATTGGTTGAGTTTGGTTTGCGCCGAGGTCATTAGGGGGGGCCACGAGCAGGAGGGGGCAGGAGGCGGGAGGAGGAGGAGGAGGGAAACAGAGGGCGCCTCAGCGCTGCGCACATTTCGTCATACCACCTTGCAACTGTCACAATGATTGAGAGCGGTTCCTTCTCGAAGTGGGGCTCGCGCCCCAGCGTCGCCCACGTACGTGGCATCGCATTGCAAGGGTTATGTGGATGGAGCACGGGTCGTTTTCAAAATGGGGCTCTCGCATTAGTGCCGCGCGGATTCGTTGTAAATGCTTGCAGGAGGGCGGCCTTCGATTGCATTACCTTGTGTGAGAGCACAGTTTAGCGCTGCTCGGATCGAGGGTGGCTCGTTTTCGAGTTTGGGATCTCGCTTGAGGTGTCTTCTAAGGTCATGACCACGAGTGTGAAGTTGCGCAATAATTGCACGGGTGTAGGGTTGAGTGTGTGTTTTTGGAGGCAAACTAGCCTCAAATATTTCATTCCAAAAAACTGGAATAATACTCTGACCCAACTCTAAGTCAACTCTGGCCCGGAACTCTGTTTCATTTCTGATTTTCGAAACTCTGATTTAATTCTGGTCTGAGCTGATTCCGAGCTTCAGCAAAACCAGAGAGATGAATCAGAGTTTCAGGCCAGAGCCAAATCAGAGTTTCTGCTAAGCCGGAGATTAATCAGAGTTTCAGGTCAGAGCCCAAACAGAGCTGCATCATAATATCATCAGAATTCTGGCAGTCCAAGGCGGAGGTCGCGGGGCGCGCTGCGCATGCGCGCTTGTCTTTCTGTAAATGAAAGGGGCGCGAGAGGAATGGGACTCCCCCCTGGAAATCCAAAGGATGCTCCGGACTTCCATTGTCATCAAATTCCTTGGGGAATGTATATTTACCGGCGACTGCAATCGGTGCGGTTACGCTAGGGTGCGGTTTGCGAATTGTTTTGTGGCGGCCTTTTCTGGGCCTGTGTGACAGACAATGTCATAACTGTCGTCGTTTCGAGCGACGCTGTCATCCTCTTCGCTTCGGCCTCGTGCTGCGGGAATTATCATTTTTCCTCACGCGGTGACCAGGCGCCCTGGCTTGCTCACAGGTATGGCTTGCACCGCTTCCGTTTAGCGCATCGGTTTTTTATGTTCTAAGAACATGTTCTTGTTTTTGGGCCACTCGTCTGTTACGTGAGCATGTCGTCGATTGCCTGCGCGGGTGCCTTGGCGGTCTCAGCCTGCGGTTTCGGCGCCCCCCCCCCCCAGCGTGGGCCCCGCCATGGACGCGTTCCACGCCTTCAGTGCGGGGGGGGGGGGGGGCGACGCGGGCCCGCGGACGCGGGCAGCGGCCCCGCGCGGCTTGGCGGCGCCGCCTGCGGCAGCCGCCGCCACCCCTGCGGCGGCCGCGGCCGCGGCGAGCCCTCCTGCAGCAGGAGCGCGCGCAGGAGGCCCTGGAGGGCCTGGCGCGCAGGCCTCGACGTCGGCGGCGACATGCGCGAGAGGACTCAAGGAGATGCTTGTGACGCTGCACGCCGGGGCGAGCTCAGATCCGCGGTGGGGCCGCAGGTTTTGGCACCATGTGTCCGAGCTCGAGAAGGCGGGGAACTTGGACCCCGCCGTGCAGGCGGCCCCTGCGGCCAGAGGATACGCAGGGGAAGGCGCGCTCTCGCCGCCTGACGCGAAGGCCATGGAAGTGGTCCTCACGGGGTTCGAGAGTCTGGCGACGACCGCCTCGTTCGACGGCACGTTCGGGGCGCCTGCCGCAGAGGCAGGCGGAGCAGAGGTCGACTCCTGGGCCCACTCGGTGCCGCCAGACTTCAAGCGGGCTGGGATGGAGATCTATCGCAACATACGGGCAGCGGGCAGCACGAGCATTCGACATCGGTTTCAGCAGCAGTTCCAGGGATATCGAGGAGGTGAAAAGTGGCAGTCCCTGCGGAGTACCGCGGCGACCTGAGACTTCGAGCTGGGGAAGTGCGCGACAGATCAGGACCTGATGATATGCCTCAACACGAACGACAACGCGGAGATCGGGCTGCGACACCTGTCGGCGTTCGTGTACGAGTCGAGGACGCACGACAAGGCAGGAGCAGCTAGACTACGAGCAGCCACGGCCCCAGGAAGCGGAGTGGGCATCGCGCTTGGCTGGCTCATCACGGAGGCGACGGCGCACAGTAAGATCAGAATGGGTGGCTCCAGAACTACGACGGCGGCAGAGCGGCAAAGATAAGGGAAACCAGGGCCGCGGACGCGGAGCACCGAAGAGCGGTTCGGGAGGCCGACGTCTCCCGGGGGCCCGCTGCCAGGAGTCGCGAGGCAGAGGGCAGTGATACGCTCGCGGAGAGCAGCGACAGTACCAGAATGAGTGCATGAGAGACGACACCCCAGGCACGCATCGCTCAGTCCTCTCACCTGACGGGGCACCAGAGACCAGAGGGTGCCGACCTGCGGGGCCTCCCCCATGCACGCACTGCTCAGTCTCTACACCCATCGGGGTTTCGAGGGCCAGAGGGCACCGACCTCGGGGGTCAGAGTGATGGGTTGCTAAATCAGAGAAGCCGAGTGAAGAAGCGAAGTCGAGCCATATATCGAATTTCCATTCAGTTTCTGATATGGCCTCTGCTTTCGGCGCCAGTGATGCAGCTCTTCCAGTTCCACTCCTTGCACAACCAGGTCTTGTGTCAGTGTGATCGGGTCGAAGTAGGCAGCGCCTTCATTGGAAGCAGATGGTGAGAAAAGTCGCCAATCGAATGCTTATTGCCCTCAACTCGACCTATCTGGGCAATAAGCAGCAGACCACACCATGGCAGCAGAAGTATTCTTGCGATGCGACGACGAATTCAGCGGTCGGGCGGGCACAGGCGCGGGCTATCCAGCGCGCTAAGGACCAGCTCTATGTTCGCCGGCTGCATCCAGTGACTGGCGCACAAGCGACGTGTGAGTTATTGAAGTCGGACTTGATAGATTACCGGAGAGCGCGCAGGAGAGACGCCCACGCGGAGTTTGCGGCGGACAGGGTGGACGAGGTTACGACGATGAAGGAGGCCCCGCTTCTCGAGGCGCCGCCGGAGGACGAGGCGGCGCACTATGCGGAGGAGGAGAACGTGATCGAGATGGCGGGCAAGTCCACGCAGCACGTGGAGGAGTTAGAGAGACAGCATGGCTTCTTTGGGGGTCAGATGGAGTAGTGGATATCTCATTTACACTGCGAGGATCTCCCCCCAGGAGTGCGGGTGTTCAAGCCGAGGAGCGATGTGATGATTATAAATGGAGTCTCGGTCTCGGCGGTGTCGAAGAAGGACGTTATAAGTTGAGGAAACTTATCACGGCGGCGCCGACCAATTTTCTCTGGGGCGATGTACGACGTCGAAGCGAGCATGGTCTCGGAGGATGAGGTGCGCCGGCGATGATGCGAGCGCCGGGCATGGAGATGCACGCGGCACGGTGTGAACGCGTTCTCTGCGGCTTCTTGCCAGAGTCGAAGCGGAAGCGGATGGCTACGCCAGCTACCCTTGCAGCAGCCGCGCGGCCCCTACCGCCTGAGGATCTGAGGAGCTCGCTTCAGGAGCGGTCTCCGGTGTGCCCTTGCTACACCAGGCTGCCGATGGGGCCATCACATGCGGCCCACATCCTGACGTGCATCAACTTGGAGGCGGTGGGCAGGACGCCGGTCAGATCAACTGCCCCGGGGCGCCCCGTGAAGGGCAAGGTGTTGGAGCTGCCTGGCGAGGCCGTCGCAGAGGGTGTCGAGTGGGTCAAGGAGAAGGCCAGGCGCCGCGCCGAGCGGCGCCAGGAGGCAGGACTCTCGCCACAAGAATTCCGGGCCGAGGTCCGCGACCTGAAGCAGGAGCGGCATCGGGCGATCATTGCGCTGCACGCCTTCGCGGGCGGCCGGAGGAAGATGGACGTTCAACATTATGTGGGGAGTTTGCGGTCGAGTACGGGGTGCCGCTCTTTTTTCTTCGGGGTCGATCTCGCCTTCGACCACGGGTGGGATCTGGCGGGCCCCTCCCTGATCGCGATGCTGTTGGAGATGATCGAGCAAAGCCTAATCGGCACAGTCATAGGCGCCCCGCCTTGCGCGACGTGGAGCAAGTCCTTGCCCCATGCGTTTCACCTACCCAATGCGGCGCTTCGCGGCCCCATAGGGGGGCCCGCCGCCGAAAGCCCCAGTGGCACCACCCGTATGCGTCCGCCACCACCCAGCACAGCCCTTGCCCCCTGCGTCTCGCCCACCCAGTACAGCGCTTCGTGGCCCCATAGGGGGCCCCGCCGAAGGCCCCAGTGGCACCGCCCGCATGCGTCCGCCACCACCCAGCACGGCCCTTGCCCCCTGCGCTTCACCCACCCAGCACAGCGTTTCGCGGCCCCATAGGGGGAGCTCCACCGAAGGCCCCAGTGGCACCGTCCGCATGCGTCCGCCACCACCCAACACAGCCCTTGCTCTCTGCGTTTCACCCACCCAGTACAAAGCTTCGTGGCCCCATAGGGAGCTCCACCGAAGGTCCCAGCGGCACCGCCCGCGTGCGTCCGCCACCACCCAGCACAGCCAATTGCTCCATTCGTTTCGCCCACCCCGCACAGCGCTTCGTGGCCCCATAGGGAGCTCCACCGAAGGCCCCAGTGGCACCGCCCGCGCGCGTCCGCCACCGCCCAGCACAGCCCTTGCTCCGTGCGTTTCACCCACCCAATACAGCGCTTCGTGGCCCCATAGGGGGCCCCACCGAAGGCCCCAGTGGCACCGCCCGCGCGCGTCCGCCACCACCCGGCACAGCCCTTGCTCCTTGCGCTTCACCTACCCAGTACAACGCTTCGTGGCCCCATAGGGAGCTCCACCGAAGGCCCCAGTGGCACCGCCCGCATGCGTCCGCCACCATCTAGCACGGCCCTTGCCCCCTGCGTTTCACCCACAGCACGGCGT